TACAAATACTACAAATACTATAAATACTACAAATACAAATACTACAAATACTATAAATACTACAAATACTACAAATACTACAAATACTACAAATACTACAAACACTATAAATACTACAAATACTATAAATACTACAAATACAAATACTACAAATACTACAAATACTACAAATACTACAAATACTATAAATACTATAAATACTACAAACACTATAAATACTACAAATACTACAAATACTATAAATACTATAAATACTATAAATACTACAAATACTACAAATACTACAAATACTATAAATGCTATAAACATAAGACACGACTAATTGAATTCCAACGAGAAAGTCAACATTCAGTTACATTGATTAGAAATGTTCAATAGACGAAGATTATTTTAAATAAAGCAACGTATGGCAGGATTAGAACTATTTCAATATTATAAAATAATATGACTTGTTAGTACGGAATTATCTATAAACAAGCGAAACTCTAGCACCACGTATATTCGCTACAATTAGAAACGGCAAGTGATGATCAAACAATGGGTCCGTTGCGCTGGTACGAGAGAAATATTGAAATCCAGTTTTCCCAACAATGAAACACCGTATGAAAAAAAGTTCCATTCACCATTTTACATTTATTTTTCCCTGTAAAACCAACTCGTTCTCAGTTACAACCCGAACAATGTTGCTGCGGACGATTCCTAGAAATCTTGTTAAAGTGGTTTGAGTAAAATGTCATCCTTTTCGTGTCACATTTTTACTTTGAATTAAATTGCTGAAATATGCCTTGTAAAAATAATAAATATAGAAACTATAATTATGGTATCAATTTAACTATCACCAATCGATAATACACGAAATACTCTACAAAACGAATCAGATTTTTGAAAAGCATTTCACAATAGATGAACACCTTTCGCTTCGCGAAAATGATAAGTTTACACGACACATTAATTTCCCTTAATTATATGCATACACGAGTACTATATCGTGGCATTCATTGTCCTGAAATTGAGTGATCATCGTCAACACAAAATTGCTGTTCGATCATTTTCATCGGCGACCGTATTTCTGTGTGAAACGTCAGTACCACGAATCCCAAAATAATTCTCATCCCGCCAAAAATGAAGGCGCATCGTATCTAATGCATAAAGAGTTTCAAATAAAATTTAATATGCTCGCATATACGGGATCGTTGAGAATATTGAAAACGAGCCAGAGAATATGCAACGATGTATAAAAGTATGCGAAAATTCACTTCTTAAACGCCCGCTGGGTCTCCTTATTATGCTCCGAAACGGTTTCGCGTGTGCGTGTGTGTTCGTGCGCGCATGTACCCGGTGTACACCTGTCTCTCTCTCTCTCTCTCTCTCTCTCTCTCTGTCTCTGTCTATACATATATACACACCTAAATACATGTATACATGTATGCATACGTATATACGTATATACGGTAGAGAAAAAGGGGCGCAGGATTTTCTGTGCGAGGTGAAAATTACATACGAATGCATTGGGACGAAGTACTCCGGAGAAGTTGCGCTAAAGCGAAAGCGTGTCTACTCGCACAGGCTACAAACTGCTACGAGAATATATTTGCGAACGGCCGGGAGTAATTCACTCTCGCATTTGTCTGCAACTTTTTTTCGCGAATTCCCGCGCGGAAATATGAAACCTGTTAAAGAAAAGCCGTGCTCGCAACCTTGGCAAACGGTGGCGAGACACGAGCGTGCAGTTCGCTTTAATCGTGTCAGAGACCGCCGCCGTTAATGTAAATCCGCATCGAAAAGGTCCTCCTCGAAAATTGAATATCCCGTTCTGCGGCTCTATGACGTTACTTCGGCCCGTATTGTGCCGGATTAGGTTCGTTTATTATACAGCTGTTGGCACACCGTAACGTTTCTCCCCGCGTTCCCGGACACTATTAAAATACCAGGATACTTTAGCGCAACGCGTCCGTAACGTGTGCGCGCGGCAAACTTGTCCGAGGTGCGACGTGTTCTGCGTAGCTTTTTTTTTCATTATTCGGAGAGTTTGTTAGCGACAATGTTTTGCAACGTGTTTGTGTACCTACATGGCAAACGTTTCCGGAAACGATACCGTGTTCCGTTTAATATCCGCGGCGATTGCTATTGGCAGAAAACGTGCAGACGTTGGACAAATGGTGGACAAATGGTGGACAAATCGCGAGTAGACCAGAGTTTTTTTATCTAAGATAATAATCGGAATGAGTTCTTTTCAGACGAACGTTTCATTCGAGAATTTCAAAGATTTCCCAAAAAATATACACGAAATACTCTTTTTTTTTTAAAAAAAAAACGGTGATTCTTGCGATAGCGGCACGTCTGCCGAAGATTCCGTGCGACTTCGAAGTCGATCGTTGAAGTGTAACTCGAGATATCGCGCGCACCGGTTCAAAAAATGAGGTTCCGAGAAAAACGCGTTTATCGGTTACGTGGAGATATGTGTATGCTTGCAGATTGGTGGTCTTCAAACAGCTGTAACTTCGTACGTGTTACGAATTCGAGCGAATCCTGTTGCAGACACATTTTCGTCGGCACACATACTTTAAGAAACAAAAATCGGATTGGAACAGAAATCGATTTTTTAAAAGCTCTAAACCAGAATACCGCCTTAAAGACAGAAACGATTTCGGGTGCCAGCAGAGGTTCCGGACAAGACTGCCTAATCGAGCAAAAACGGCACGATCCGAAACAGAATCGATCGGTCGATTGTTTGACGGAAGTTCGAGCATAGGGTGTAAAGCAAAGAAACATGAAAGGTGGAGCGCTCTGACAGGATTTGCTTGGCCCGATGGTACATGCCAGAGTCGGCGGGCTACAAGCCAGAGATCAAGCGGCCAACAGAGATCTCACCGTTATCCTTCTCCCAATAATTAATCGACTTCGGCGAAGCCTCGACAAAACATTCCAGGGCCACGTCCGTGCCCAGAGGAGCACCGACCAGTTGATTAGGTACATGAATTACCGGCGGAACTGTGACACAGAATCAGAGATACAGATTGTGGCCGAGCCCCGCTGTAGCCGTTCCCCTTCGTTCTAGGCGAAGGAGTTCGGTAAACGATCGGACCAGCGCAATCACTATTACTCACAATGAACGTTGATAGAAATACGTTTGCTGACTGCCGGCGGAACACCGTTGCTGGCGATGCAGAGGTACACGCCTATCTCGTGCCGCGAGATCTTCGTCAGCTTCAGGTCTTCGCCTTGGTGCTCGGACACGGAGGTCACTAAACAGAATGATAACTGGTCAAGCTTCGTGTTCGAGCTCGTAGAACCGGATTAATAGCGGTGGCGTAAATCGACTCCTAACAATATAGTAGCGTCCTATACTTAAGGACACTTGAAAAACGGTATGACTTTTTTTTAAAACTGGACCAAATGACTTGAATTTCTTTTTTATAATAGAGGGAATAATCTACTAGACAAATACTTTTTAATTTTAAACAGCATTACCTTGGCCGATCTTCGAAGACCAAAACGTCATAGGTCAATGAATTGATCTTGAAATGCACGATTCGTTTGCATAAAAGAATATACAGTCGACGTCGCGTCGCTACTAGTGATATTGAAACAGTGGTCAACACTTGTACATTAACACTCGATTGGTATGACCAGGATCATTCAACATTTTAATTGTCAATTTATTTTCGGTATATTTTTCGAGGTAGTCACGTAGTGGAACATGTGTGAAAATGTCAATTAATTGTCAAAAACTAGACGTTCGAATAACGATGTAGCGTATCATCTGAGTCCAGATAGAACCTACGATATGAGTCGTTTATTTTGAAAGTGGCCTAAGTCCATTTATTTGAAAATCCAGATATTTAAGGTTTTTACGTTTTAATAAATCTAAAAATACTGCTAAAATTGATAACATGGTGGTATAATGTTTTTGTGTTCCTAAGGGTCACTGCGTTCTTTCAACTTTGCTGACATGAAATTATATGTATAACGTAGAAATGTGAACATTAAAATAGCTAGCTCGGTGTTTTTGAAAAATTGAACTTAGGCCACTTTCAAAATAAACGGCTCATATTTAAGTCCTTTATTATCTGAACACGTTGTGAATAGATCGACCTAAAACGATCACTATTCAGAGTGACAAATCAGAAAAGATGAACGATCGCATAGAACAATGCAGATATTGAGACCAGTTTATAATGCAAGCAACTGCTACTTTTTAGAAGACCTTTTCCAATGCGTTTAAATTCCTATTTTAGACAAAACATGATTTCCTTTCGTTTCGTTTTCAGTTATCTAATAATGATATTATCAAAATTTTAATACTAGCTCGTCGTAGATCTGACTATGNCAGATATTTAAGGTTTTTACGTTTTAATAAATCTAAAAATACTGCTAAAATTGATAACATGGTGGTATAATGTTTTTGTGTTCCTAAGGGTCACTGCGTTCTTTCAACTTTGCTGACATGAAATTATATGTATAACGTAGAAATGTGAACATTAAAATAGCTAGCTCGGTGTTTTTGAAAAATTGAACTTAGGCCACTTTCAAAATAAACGGCTCATATTTAAGTCCTTTATTATCTGAACACGTTGTGAATAGATCGACCTAAAACGATCACTATTCAGAGTGACAAATCAGAAAAGATGAACGATCGCATAGAACAATGCAGATATTGAGACCAGTTTATAATGCAAGCAACTGCTACTTTTTAGAAGACCTTTTCCAATGCGTTTAAATTCCTATTTTAGACAAAACATGATTTCCTTTCGTTTCGTTTTCAGTTATCTAATAATGATATTATCAAAATTTTAATACTAGCTCGTCGTAGATCTGACTATGAAATTCTGATCACTGAGATATCATTCTTACACGGTTCTTGATCGAGTAATTAAAGAATTACAGAATATCGATTCCGAGAAATATTTCAATATTGCTGAACCTACCTGAAAGTAATATTCTTAGGTTTATTAAAAGTTCTCGGGTTTATTAAAATGGGAACGGTCTAATCGATGTCAGTAACAAATAATGTAGTCGACGTCTTTGCTACATTCTCAAGTTAATCACTATGCGGGGATCGCATAAATTATTTTCTAAGTTTTCAAATGAGAACATTACAGCTGCATCGGTTGAAAAAAGGAAATGGGTCATCTTAAGCAGATTGAGAATCGGACATACCAACCTCGCGCACTATTATTTAATTAAAAAAGATAACCCTGCAACGTGTAATCTGTGTAACTCGAGAAATTCCATCGACCACATTATTACATCCTGTCGAATATTTAAAAAAGAAAAGATGTCTCCATCTAGCAGACAACACTTGAACGATATCAACTTATGCAATAAACTATCAGAATTTCTTGCGTCTATTGGCATATTTCAACAAATATAGTATCAAATTACTGTGCATTAAGGAGCTAACGTATGGTTGCTAAGGATCCTCTGGTTGATGGAACCTTAGAAATAAGATGAAATGGCGCGGTTGATAAATGAACGAAAGCCATCTATCGCAGACAGTAATATTAATTATATTAATTATGAATATTGAACGATAATGAAAAGTGCAATATTAGTTATGAATGACTTTGGAACGGAATTAAGGAGAAGGCGAGTAAATGTTATTCGGAGATTAATTTCACGTAATCGTGTTTCTTCTTGTACGAATAATTAGGTTTAAAATTGTGCACCGATGTCGAGAAACTCACGAAAATAGAAGCGCTCTTGTGGTTCCCAGGTCATAAATAAGTTTTCCAACTAGAGAATAATTTATCGAGTTTTAAAACTCCAAATACCAAACTGTTTTAATGGCAGCCATTATTCTTTGGATTAGCTTTGTCCAGAGACAAGGTTCATACATCTCAATACCCCGGCATTCCGTTACTTTTTAATTGCTTAACTTGAGGTCATTGCACTCTTGAAAACGTTCGGGCTGGAGGAATGATAAGAAAAACTTCCCGCAAATAAACGCAGCCCTTCGGCGCTATTTTTATTGCAGCTGCTCGCTATTTGCGCCGACTATCATCACGTTTCTAATCTTGTTCTTATGTTAGCGCGGCCGGCTATAAACTTGAGAAAAACTATCGATTTTCCGGAAGTTGCGAACTCAAGCAGTCACTTGCGGCGACCTCTGCTAATAATAGAAACTAATCATCCGTAACCCATTATTCGGCGAAACCGAATGACAATTTGGTCCCGCGGTCCAAGTGCTACTAATTTTGTTAACGAATTGCAAAATAACATCCCGAGGAGCTTCCAGCCGCGACGCTATCAAACCACGAGACGGCAGAAAAAGTATTATTATTTATGCGGTTAATGGAATTGAGAAAGTTGCTCACTTCTCTCTATCTTGGCGTATTTCTTATTCAGTTACGACGGAAATAATTAACGGAGAACGCAACTTTCCAAATGGAAAGCGTTTGAGAAATTATTAGTTTCGAGCAAACAGAAGGTATTTTATACACGTAACGTTCTTCTATTATATATCATCATTTATCTCTTATTAATGATGTGTTAATAAAAGTTGCATTCTATCATAAAGTTGAAATTGTTGAAATTCTTCGACATTGAAATTCTTCATTAATTAGTTCTATATGGATGGTAGAAATACTGCCAAGTGCTCATCCGAAAGTTCAATTATGGACGTAATAATTAATATAAAATGTAACTTGTAATTTGCGAGCGATATAACATCAAATATTTTTATGCAATTTCCGAATTTATGTACTTCCATATTTAAGTTTCTAACGCTGTATCAAATTGATTACATATCGGTTATATTTTAACATTTTTCTTGCTAATAGAATATTAATAAAAGTTGAAATATAACCAAGTGCTCATCCTCGAGTTCGATTATGGACTTATTGATTGATATAAAATGTAACTTGTAATGTCAAACATTTGAATACAAATTTCTCACGTTACGTACTTACTTAATTTTCTAACGCTATATTACATAGATTAGATACCAATTGCCAAATCACAAAATGCATTATCGATGATTCAACAGGTCTGAATCTACAAGCAAAGCAACAGGAAACACCGTGTCAATATTAATTAGTACCGGAGAAGCGACGTCTATCATAAATAAGAGAAATCACATCAATATCGAACGATTTGCACCGTTTAACGATATCAGCAGTCCCTTCGAGCAACTCGCATACAAATTCCGTAGAAAATTGCAGGTCGAAAATGAACTTTCGCTGCACTATTTGCTAACTGTTCCAACGGAAATCGCTAATTAATGAGTTTGTAAATCATAAATCATCGAGTTACGCTTGAATTCTCGGCGGGGTTGCATTACCTCGCAGATTCGAAAGCAACACCGGTAATTAGAGGAGTATAGGTAAAATATGTTTTGCGTTTGAAGACTGAATGATAGATCGAAGGGCGGGATCGTCTGAGAACTGACATTGTCTAACAATATTACGTCGTAGTATTTCTTAACAAACATCCGCATTTGTTCAAATTATTGAGAAATAAATGACGTTCTTCGTGTAAAAGAAATTTCTATACTTCTTATTGCTATATATACCACTCAATTAGTGTCATAATTTTAATGAAATAATTCAGTAATGTGTAAATTAAATTACTGAGAAATAGCAATGCTTAAAATTGATTTACAATTTATTCATTTAAATTTTCTATCAGTTTGCTAAGCTCAGAAAAAGTGTATAGTATAAAATATAACATCATATTATTATTGAATAATAAGAAGCACGTCGTTTTTCCAATTGCACGTTCACAAAATCTAACTAACCGACTAATTGTAAACTAATCTGCAAAGTAAACTAATTTTTTTACCCATTGCGTATTGTCTAAGTATTTATTAAAATAAAGTCAGAATTTAAATAGGGCAAATTATATTCGCACATGAAAAATATAAAAACGTGAAACATGTTAGCATTGAATAAATTCTTATTTATATTTTCTTCTATAAAAAATGATTTCCTTGATCCATGTTTCGACTACACGATTTCTTTAAATCTTTAATTACTCGAAACTCGGACTCGACCTGTATAAATCGATCATTGACATTAATTTCCAAGCTGACAGACTCAATCATATTTCTAAATATTTTAATATCGAACAATACCATGTTTCAGTGAACCGATTCAAAATTACTCCCAAAGAATTGCTCAAAATTGCACTTATAATATACTTCACACCGGAGTACGAAAAATTTAGCTCCCATTATTTACAACGATCATTCTACTGATGAATGACCTTACAGAAAAGAAAATATCGAACCACTAACGAACGTTACACACGACAATATCTTAAAGTTAATTCTCAACAACTTCCCCATTGCTCGTCGGATAAATAATTGTGCATCTCCTACTCTTAAATCCTATTATTAGCAGCCTCCTTTGACTGCGATTACTAGCACAATGCAGAAGCGAATACTAAGTACGTCGTTCGTCCCGAAACACCGAGGAAAGGCGAGTGGCGACTGTCCGTTTCGGCCTATCAAGTGCTCCGCGATTTTATGGTCACCGTGCCCGCCGTTCGTTTTCACCGACGCGACACCGTGTTTAACAATTTCGTTTTACGCGTGTGCGCGTGCTTATATGCAGCGCGTACGCATGTATGCAGCTACGGTGCAGCACGCCCCGCGGAGGTTTATTGCGCGCGGCGTTTCAAGAGCGCAATGGGGCCGCATGAATAGCTCCTAATATTGTTGAAGAATGAGCTGCGCCGGCCGAGTATCTAGTCCCCTTTTTCTACCTTTCGCGATCACATGTTGAGAAACTGCTCGTTTCAGTGGGAAACGGCGAAAAGGCGACGCGGCTGGCTCTGTGCGAGCTCTTTCGATCGATCGCGCGGTGCCGCGCGGGGATCGGCGTAAACAGTTATCTTACGTTTTCAAATTACCATCGCGGAACTTGCCGTCACAAAGCTGCTCGTGCACCTGTGCCAGTCACAAAACTGTTGTTCGCGCCCGTTGCCAGTCACAAAACTTCTCGGCCATCTTTACAGTCGCGATATACTATTCGTACCGCCTCGCCAGTGACGAAACTCCTCGCGCACCATTACAGTCACAAAACTCGTCGCGAAGCTTCCGAAGCAAAGCAGCTTTTTTGAAATTGCTCCGGACTTGAGTTGTTTCTAGCACTTAGGAAGATTACTTTACCGACTGACTTGCTGGGCTGTTTACCAGCATTAGCTTGCTCCACAACTTGCGTTCTTTCAACAACCTCGACTGTTTAGCTTGATGCATAATTTTGAGCTGTTTCGAGAACTTAAAAGGGTTCATTTGTTGTACGAATTACGTTGTTTAGAAGCATGAGTTTGCTGCATACTTTGAGCTGTTTCGGGAACTAAAAAGGGTTCATTTGTTGTACGAATTACGTTGTTTAGAAGCATGAGTTTGCTGCATACTTTGAGCTGTTTCGGGAACTAAAAAGGGTTCATTTGTTGTACGAATTACGTTGTTTAGAAGCATGAGTTTGCTGCATACTTTGAGCTGTTTCGGGAACTAAAAAGGGTTCATTTGTTGTACGAATTACGTTGTTTAGAAGCATGAGTTTGCTGCATACTTTGAGCTGTTTCGAGAACTTAAAAGGGTTGATTTGTTGTACGAATTACGTTGTTTAGAGGTATTAGCTTGCTGCATATTTTGAGCTGTTTCAAGAACTTGAAAAGGTTAATTTGTTGTAGGAATTACGTTGTTTAGAAGTATTAGCTTGCTGCGTAACTTGAGCTGTTTCAAGAACTTAAAAGGGTTAAATGATGCACAATTTGAGTTGAGTAGAAGGCTCGCCTGTTTCGCATGGATTGAACGTTTATATGCAAGGATGACTAAATTAAATTAATTTTAACTGAATCGTATGTATAAAACTATAAACTCGACTAACAATTTTTATAGTCTGCATCCGAGGGGAACGGCAAATAAACGATTAAACGATGAAACGATACACGGGCCGAGCAGAAGCGCACAGTGAAAGTCGTTTCGCGCTAAGAGAACGCTCGAACGCCGCGCGCCGCGGCCGGCCCGCAAAAATTTTCAACAGAACGACGGATAATAAAGTGCGAGTTCAAGCGGGCAGGTAAGAGGAAAATTTTTCAGGAAAGCACTGGGAACGTGACCCATAAAAACAGGGAGTTCTATCGATTCTTCGCACGTTTACGAAGTGTTACTTAACAATTTCTGAAAAGTTACGTCGCCCGCAGGCAGTTCGAAGCAAGTCTCTGCCGTCTCTGCCGGCAGAGACGCTCGAACGGCGCCGTCGATGGGGTGTGGGTGGGTGCGGCAGGGCGAGGAGAGAGGGATGGTCGAGGGTAAAAATAAGGAAATTAAAATACCGAGTTAATCCAGCCCGAGTGGAAACCTCGGGGTAAACATAATCGTGTATTCCGAGCGTCTGTAGACGGGATAGTGTGAGACAGATCGCCAATCCGGCTGGGCAAAAGGCGATGATCAGTTTCGATGATCGTCGCAGGATCATCGAATTTTTATTGTAAAAACGTGATTCCACTGAGGCAATATTTCGATTTATTGGAAGGAAATATAACTTTAGTCGTCTAGATCTATAAATCGTTTATATAGAAATATGTTATATCACCTATAGGCGAGTAATTAAACATATACAAAATATAATATAATATATGAGAAAAGTAATGGACCTACGTGAAAATATTTTTAGTAAAAGATACAAATATTTGCAAATACTGTTTCCCTTAACTGTGTTAGGTATGCTTCATTTGAAATAATATTTAATTTCTGTATTAAATGAAACATTTAAAATATGTATTTCACAATATCAACCTAAAAACACTTTAACAATAAATATTTTCTTTAATAATAATAAATAAATATTATGCTTGAAATGAAACATTATTTTCATGAAATTGTAGCCTGCGAAGCAATCGCGAGTATGTTTTGACATTCGTGTTTGCATTTGAGACATTTATTATTCGAGTACATTGCTAAAAACAGATGTTAAATGTTTCGATATTGTTCATTAATCAAGAGAAATATAAGAAAGAGCTTATTTTTCGAAACAAAGCGTGTTTGTACTTTTTCTATAAGCTTATTTTCTCTCATAAATCGTAATCGAAAGAAATAGAATTTCAAATAATTAACAAAAATTTCGACGCATGAAATGCTATTACAAATAATTATTATAATTATTTACAGTGTATCCTAAGAAAGTCCTGTATCAATTAAAAATTTGACATAAATAAATTTGACGTAAAGGGAGATAAAATAAATATTTCTATTCGAGTCTGGTCACACACTACACGTTGCCTAAATCTTGCCTCAGTGGAATCACGTCTTAAATCACGACTACAAAATTGGATGAACATGTACCGTGTGTCTGGTTTAAATGCATTCAAGCGATTGTTTTTCCATGTATTGGAAATGCAAAGAAATGTTTCAGACGAATGTTCTCTTCGAAGCTGAACAACTTCATTGGATATTCATTGAACAACTTCAGTAAACAGTGCTTTGGAAACGGTTGAATGCCAGTTAGGAGGGTATGTAACGAAAGATATAGAGTTTCTCCTATTGAGGCTTTGTGGTATATACCGTCTCGCATGCACTGCAGTTAGGTTCGCCAAAGATTTGGAGACACACAGGTACGATATATCTTGCGATTCCCTATAAATATAATAAAAGATCAGGTGAACGAGTTTTAACTTTATAATTTATTCCACTTACAGTGGCCTACAAGATTGTTCATACACCTTTTAAAACGCAATAACTTTTTTAAAACTGGACTAAGTATAATAACTGTACTATACTATTTTTACACTATTTTATACTACACAATGACCAAAATGCATCTTCTGTTATTACTTGGAATGTCAGAAACAAAATAAACTCTCCATTTGAACTTTTTTACCTTAGCCTATAACGAAAATTTTTAAAAATTATAAAAATGTCTTTCGTAGATCTGGGTAAATTATATACATGCTAAAAATTTTATCAAAATTGATTGACGGTGTTACGAGTTGCAACAAATTAAAAATTAATGGCAAAAATCGCAGTTTTGTTCCAATTTTGACTAAAAACTGTAAAAAAACATCTGCACTTTTTTTAAATCTTTCGACGTTCGACTCTCGGTTAACCGATTTCGATCAAATTTCCAGTACGATACAAGTCACTGTGATCTAGGAAAAGCATATTTTTTTAATTTTCGTTATAGGCTTCTATAAAAAGGTTAAAAAACGAGAGTATTTTTTTGTCATTCCAAGTAATAGCAAAATTTTAGAAAAGCATTTTAATTATCATCTAGTAGAGTAGTCCCTTTATTATCTAAAAAAAATTCGAGTCACTTAGTCCAGTTTCAAAAAAGTTATTGCGCTCTAAAAGGTGCACGAACACTTTTGTGGGTCACTGTATCTTCTTGGCGTTCTGACATGTGTAGACAACATTACAAGGAACAGTTAAAATTAGTATTAGTATTAGTATTAGTCGTATTAGAGTCTAACCCACTTATACTCACACCAGCCATCCAGCTGTTCTATCGGAGTGCAACTTTGGACCAGCGACGATATTAACCCTTTGCACTTTCAAAGAAGCGAATAACGTCGTTTAATATATCATGTTCCGAGATCTCCGTAACGGGGGTGAGACCTCCCTACGTTGCGAGCGGTGAAACACGAACCAGATAGTTGTCTGGCTTTCAAATGCTCTACGAAACGCAACGCCGACCGATGAATGCAGCAAAATCGCTCATCCCGAGTTTCGTTCATCTAGATCGCGACGCGTCGCACTGTGCGGCAATCGTGATAGCGGCAGCTGAATCTTACCGTGAGTCTTCTGGTTCTGGCTGCCTGCAGCAAATGGCTGACGAATTATAATACTCTCGCCGTCTTCTCGGCGCCAGGATACTCGGGGCGGCGGCACGCCTCTCGCACGGCACGTTAACCTCACCTGTACGTGTTATGAAACCAGAATTATAAAGAGAATCGTCTTCGTTATTGCCGGCGGTAACCCCCCCTCTCCCCCCCGCCCGTATAAAATATCTTCGGAAAAAAGATCGAGCCGCGGGTGCCGCGCCGCGAAACGTATTCGCGCGGAAAACTGTTCCTAACCGCCCGCGATTATACCGGACTTATACGATGGAGTCGTTCCTTGAAAACTGCCCCGATATTATGAGCAATAAACGAATGATTCAGGGGATAGAGGGGAATCCTCGTGAATCCGAATGGCTCGAATTCCGTTGCAGCCACTCGCGGAGCTTCGTTTTCGCGCTTTCGAAACGCGACGGGCCGCCGGAACGTATGTATGTATTCGGCCGCGCCGAACGTGTTTTGTGAAATTTTCTAGTGCGCTCTGTGCGCGCGAAATGCAATATTAAACTTCCCTCGACCGGCTCCATTCGGCACGGTTTAATCCATTCTGTTTATTTACGGTAAATAACGACCGTGACGGTGAGAATTCGGTCGTGAAGGCAATACGTAGTAATGAATAAAGAATTCATAAGATAATGTCGAAGTTGTGTCGTGCGAAGAGTGAAGTTCGGATTCGAATTGACTAGCGCTTTAAGGACGAATGTCGCGTTTCAACTGTACAGTACATCTTATTCCAGAAGGTGCAACTCTCTGTATAATATATTAAATATATATATATATATATATATATATATATATATATATATATATATATATATATATATT